TGGGTGTGGTGGAAGCTTGCTCAGTGCCTTTTTACCCTATCTAGCTCATATCAGTTAGGTTAATCTCACAAGTTCAATTTCACACTTCCGAAGGAGGCAACTGGGCCCTGCTGGCTTTGTTTTTCCTGTCATTTATATACTGTCATAGGTCCATTAACTTAAATTACACCAGCTGAGAATCTGCCCCTTGCTTTTTAAACACCCCAAAACATTATATTGTATGCTAGGTGAAAGTGAACACTCTAAATATTCTAGTCCCTGCAGTGTCACCAGCTATTCAGCTTCTTCATATACTCTGCACTGAATTAACATGTTTAGCTAATTTCTTTTGTATACACACTAAAGAAAGCATAGAATCATAGAATATCAGAGTTGGAAGGGACCTCAGGAGCAGGACCAATCCCCAAAGTATCTAGTGTACTTTCTAGGTTTCTTTGACATTACTTAAAATGTCAAAATGTAATACCTATATGTTTCTCAGCAATACAATTTGGTGTAACCCGCTACTGTAGGTACTGCACAAAAACATTCTTGCCTAATTTCTCTCCTACTCAACAATGAACATTCTAGCTAAGTGTTTAGCTGGATTAATTGAAATGGCAAAATCTGGGCCAAAATTACTAATTTACTAATTGCTAAATTACTCTAATGCTGTTTATGTGACTGCATGGAGTAGGCCTCCCTGTTTTCTCTGGTGGCTCAGATAAATGGTACACTTTTCCTCAGTTGGGTGAAAACATTGGCCAACATTTTTGAAATTGAATGCCCCAAATTAGGCACCTACATCATCAGTAACCCAGTTGTTTGAGGGTTTGGTACCTCTGAAAGTCAGGCCACTTAGGTGGATAAATGTAGATGTAATTTTCTAGCTTTAAGATTTCAATTTGAAAATTTGGGTCTTTGGCTGCTATCAGTGTACATTCTTAAGCTTTTGTTTGAGGAAAGGCACCAGGGAGGATATTTCTCAGTTGAATGGTGTTGACAGCTGCAGAAACTAAGCTTTCGTTTAACCAACAAACAAACAATCCTTAAGCCCTTACAGCTGCAAAGATCTTCCAGAGTAAACCAAGTGTAAACTGATGCTGTGTAGTCTTCATAAGTCTGCATGGACAACTTCAGTGCTGCTGCTCAGAGATTGTCCAAATTGCAGTGCAGTGAAAATTGACCAGAATCTTGTCAGTTTTCACTGTTCCATATTTAGAACACAGTGGGCAGCACTGGAACAGAGAAGATGGTCAGTTTGAACTACTCCAACTTTGGAAAGCTATGTACAGCAAATGAGTAGGTACTGCAGCTGTTCACAGTTGTGGTCCACCCCACCCCCTCCACCCTCCCAAAAAAATTAGGGAAGTGGAGCCACCTCTCCCCCCAACACACAACCACCATTACCGTTACAGTAGCCATGATGCTTTCGGGTGCGAGAGAGGAATGATTTATATGTATTGCAGCAGTGCCTAGGAGCTGCATGGACAAAGATCTTGCTGTGCTAGGTGCTGTACAAACAGACAACAAAAAGAGTCCCTGCCTCAAAGAGCTTAGCATAGGAAAGAAGCCGGGGTAATGCTCCCTTTCTCTTCCAACTGTCCAAAGGATGTGTGAGAGAGCTTTATATTTATCAAAACCTGATAGCTGGAGGCTATAAGAAATGGTGCCCCTTAGGATCCAGGGCTGCACCTGATGCAAATGCAGTGACCTTCCCTTTCCCTGAGGGTACACGGGTGGATGTGGCTTCTCACAGGGACACTGCACCCAGAGAGACAGAACCTTCCTTTTAGTTTAGGCACCTGGCTATTGAGTGTTAAGGCCTGAAAAGGTTACCAGTGTCTGAACAGGTGGTGGAGGGGTTGAGGCTGGTAGGTGGAGAGAGGGAGAAATTGAGGGGATGTAGTAAATAAAAAGAGAAAGATATTAAAAGAGGAATTTTGGGGTAGCGAAGATGATACCAAGGAGAAGCGTCACACCAAATGATTGGAGAGAAAAGGGACAAAGTGAGGAGAGACATTGAAAACTACACAGAAGAGCTACCATGTGAATTATAAGAGAGAGAAAGTAGAGTGAAGCCAGGAAGGAAAAGAATGTGTAACAAAATCAAGGAAAGCACTGTAAAGTGTGAGAACCACATTAAGGAGAGCATGAATTGGCAACATGTTAAAATTAAATGCAGCACCCAACTCTTCTGTTGTTATAAATTGCAAGGCTGTGATGGCACCAGGTATTGTTCACCCAGGCTTAATCCTCAGGCAGCTGGTGTTGGGTACGTTTTTCAAGCTGTGCAGGAGGATCCTCATTTCTGTTCATCTTCCAGGCCCTGAATAAATGTGTTAATAATATCCATTTGTCATGGGAGATTATGCTGCACATTGAATTCAAACTTCTGTGCAGAAGAGGCATGTAGTCTGGCACTACCCAGTCTAAAGCTATTCCTTTTAGCTGTTCAACTTGATCACTTGTCACCTGGCATGAAGACATGGTCCCAGACACTAGTTAGCCCGGGAGAGACCTTGAACACAATGGTATGAGCTGTGGAGGCTCCTTTTAATCCTTCTGGGTGACTTTCTAAGTAGGGAAGAGGCTAATCTGTTGCTTGTGCATTCCTTGTGTGTGAGAGGAGGGGATGAAGAAAGCTATGTAAGGTTCCTAAAATTTACTTGAACTCAGTTAGCCTTTACCTCTTTGCAAGTTATCTGTCATATTCTGAGAGTAGCCTTGAGCCGTGTGATTACTCAGACCGCTGCTCTGAGCAGTTTGGGGGCAGCTTTCTTATGATGGCTGTACAAGCTTGCTGTTACTTTCATCTGTAATTCATAAGAAACTTATCTTCATAACTTGATTGTAAATGGAGAAAAAGAAGAAATAGATACTCGTTACTGCAGCTTCAGTTTAAAAAAATATGAATGCAACAAAACTGAACTTTAGATAGCATTGGAATTCAAAGTTCACTTTAAACAAATAAACAAGCCCTAAACAATGGAAACTGTTAAAGCACAGTTAAGGGCACCCAAACAAGCATAAATCTGTCTCCATAGTGAGAACCACCAGGATTTGCCTTATCCCAGCCATTACGCAGGTTCATGTCTTCTGTGACCACCAAAATATTAATACCTGACTCTTAACTAGAGCTGATCGGGGACAAGGTTAATTGGAAAATGCCAATTCATTGAACCTGAAATATTTATCAGAAATGTGTTGGGTTCAGTGAACTTCTGACAAAACACAGGTAGGGTTCCTCTGGCTCTGGGAAGACCCCTCCGTGACAACTGTCCTGAGGCCAGTGACCTCAGAGCTTCAACGGTCTATGGCTCATGAGCAACCTTGCCATGTGGACTGCCCCGAGATCAGGCTCTGGCTGGAGCCATGGCTCTCAGGGCTTTAGGATCCTTGCTCTGTGGTGGGGAGCTCACCTGAATCCCAGGGCATCCCCAGGAATGGAAGGCAGCCTGGGAGGTGGCGGCAGCTGCTCTGTTTCATTTAGAAAAATGGAACTGACATTTTTTTTTTTTTTAAAAACAAATAATTTCAGAATTTCTTTTCTGTGGGAAACTGAAATTTCAAGTTTTTGTTCTGAATCGGAATGAAAACTTTTTTGAAATGGCAGAATTTCCCACAGAAATGGAAATTCCTGAATTTTTGCCAGATCTAATCTTAACCCTAGAGGTCAGTCATATTCCAGGCATAAACAATCCATGGAAGAAATCCTGTAATGATTCATGATTAGATACATAGCCTACTGAAGACAGTCTCTTTTCCCTTTTCAAGCAAAGATTCCATGTGCCATGAAATATCCCAGCGTCATTGTAATAGAGCTGGACTCGCCCAGCTGCATCGCCTGCTGGTTGTCCTTGGGAATTAGCTTGTCAGGCTCTGGAGCGCCCTCTGCTGTCTGGTGATCCGCCTTACCGCCGGCCCCAGTCCCTCCTAGAACCCGATGCCTCCTCCCACTGGGGTGCTGCCCCTTGGCAGTAAACCCCAACAATCTCTGAGGGTCTCCCCTCCCCGGGGAACCCCCACCCACTACCCCCACCTTGCCTCAGTCTTGGCTACTGCCAGTCATCGCTTAGCCCCGCTCCCCGGGGCAGACTACAGTGTATCAGTCACTCATCACAGGCGAGGGGGTTTGGACCTGCTGCCTCTGTCTACCTGTGGGCTGCCCCCTGGCAACCCCAGTACCCAATAGGCCCTAACCTAGACCTCGCAGCCTGGGGGTTTCCAGGCCGGAGCTCCCCTGGCCTTTCCCCCTCAGCCCTGCTCCAATCTAGGTTCTCCCTCAGGTCCCTGCAGCCAGGCCCCTCTCTCTCTCTCTCTGAACGCAGAGAGAGACTGGCTAAGCTTCAGCCTAGCAGTCAGTCCCTTTATAGGCCCAGCTGTGGCCTGATTGGGATGTGGCCCAGCTGCAGCCATTTCCCCAATCAGCCTAGCCTTTCTTGCCCTCAGCCCTGGCTCTCAAGCCCCACAGGGCAGGAGCGGGTAACCACCCTACTACAGTCATGAAATACAGATCTAGTGTATCTCTGTATCCAAACTCTTAAACTGAGATAACGAAATTATGGGACTTGCATGGAAACCTAAAGGTTAGCGTGGTGCCAGAGTATGAGCCATTTGTATGCATGAACAGTTATGTAACATGTTCTGTGGTTCAAATCTTCAGTATTTCATCTGCAAGCTGTGCAATACAAGTGTCTTCTCTAAATGTTAAGACCATCCAGAAGGCTGGTAACAGCGCATGGGGCAGAAAAGTTTGGCGTCAACCTTTACTCCATTTTAAGTGTTTAGTTTGTCTTGAATTGAGTGAAGTCTGGGCCACTTTCACTAGCTAATCACCTCCATTTTTTCAGCCCATTGAGTAATCAATTCCATTATCTTTTATTGTGCTGTAAATGAATCTCTCTGCAGTCTCTCCTTACAGAGCACAGGATGAGAGTGAGTAACATTTGGTTGATGTAGTTTAGCTCTCTGTGACCATAGTAAATGTGCCTGACTTTTCTTTTCTTTCTCACTTGTAGGTTTATCCTTCAGTCCAAGGGAGTAATTCACAACCAACTCTTAGAAAAACAAAAAATAGCAGAAGAGAAAATTAAAGAACTTGAGGTAAGTTTTAGGTGAATTAAGGTGATATTGAAAGTAGGACCTTAAAAAAAACTCAACATGATAGTCTTTGTTGCATCCCTTACATATATAGTATATTTATATAGTGCTTTTCATCCTAAAGGATCTTAAAACACTAGAACTCCTATCCACTGCTGAAACATTGCTATCTCTTGGGTAGAATGCAGCAGCTGTCATGGTAGTAATATTAGCAATACATATCCTGCTGACCCTCCTGATAGGAAAATACCTATCTAGTCTAGAAGTAATGAATATGATTTAGACATATTACCTACTTTGAGTAGTTGAGAGATACAGAAATATATAGGAAATGCACAGTAATTTCAGTTAATGTCCTTTTGCAAGTTCAAATTGCTGAAATGGGACATTGTATCCATTTAATCTTGACCAGTGTCCAGGGGATACAAACCAGGTTCATTTGCTTTGCTCATTACATTTAATTCTTCAGAGGGACGCAAATAGAAATGCACCAAAAGTGTTACCATTATGTCTTTTTTTTAAATGTCCCTAATATGTGAATAATATGAAACCCTGCCCCTTAGTATCTTGAGCAAAGAACTTAAAAACAAAACAAAATAACCCTCTAGGAATGTGTTTGGGGAAGCAAATGATAAGTTGACCAAACAGTCTGATATGTTAGTGTGAGCTTTGGAGAAGGAATTAACAATAGGGAAGGCAGGGCAGGCGCGTGTGTGTGTGTGTGTGTGTGTGTGTGTGCGCATGTGTGCTTGCATCAAGGAATAGCGATGTGAAGTGCTTAAAGTGCAGTTTTACTCTGAAAAGTGGCACTGTGGAGTTCTATATTTACTCAGTGACTACAGATCAGTAGGTAAATAGAAAGGGGCTTTTCTTCTGTTTGCCCTGAAAGCGCAACCTAGAATCAGAAAGATAAGATAGCATCTGTCTTTTGCATCTCTAGCAGTAAATAATCTGCATGCAGAACTTAGTTAACAGTTCTGCTGATGAAGTGAGAGAGAGATATGACAAGTGTTAGTCTATTCTGCCTTATATAGCCCTAAAAGGTGTACCAAAAAAAAAAGTCTTAAACGTATGGCCTGATTTTCAGAGATGTTGAGCAACCCCAACTCCCATTAAACACAACGAAAGTGGTATGTGCTTGTTACTTTTGAAAATCAGGTTCTTGTATTTTGTTCAATAAAGTACTTCGATATGATTCTGAATAGACACAGGGAGCAGATCTGAAGAGTAAGAATGTGCCATTTTTAGGTGTTTTTCATTTTAAAGACTGAGGATTTAATGTGGTGAAAGGCGTTTTTATTCAAAGAACGGATGATAGGATGAGGCAGATTTAAAGTAGTTTTGGGTGTTGTGTTTGAATAGGACAACCTTAAGCTTGCATTTCCTTGGTATCTGCTGTTCACGTTTGTGGTGTTTTAACTATAATATTCTTGAAATGTAATACACACTCCAACTACAGAGATGTGCCTGCAACCATAACGGCATCATGACAAACTCTTTAATGTGGGGATATGTTTTTGTTATCACAGTATCCTAATAAAAGTAGGATCCACCGTGAGGGAGATATCCTAACCATTGAAAATCTGTTTTTAATGGTCTCAGTTTTCAGCGGAAAGGAGAGAACAGATATGCCTATGGGGGCAGCTGTGCTAATGTATGAGGCAAGATAATGTTTTAACTACATTTTGGACGTTAGCAAGTGTGGGTTGCCAGGTCTGATCAAGCTGGGACTGTGCCTATTTAGTTGTGAAGTCCAGGGCAGTGTAGCTAGACAGTGCTGTCCTATACTCTGGAGAAAAACATTAACACTGTATTTATAGAAAATTCTCTCTCCATGAATAACGTGAAAGATGCACTTGCAAATTACAGCTGTCGTTTCTGAGCCGAGGTGCTTGGGTTGACCTCATGGCTGGGACAGTCAGTGATGAAACCCAATGTCAGTGATGTTCACGAATCCCCGTGCTTCAACAGTTATTAAAGGGTTGATTTGAATGCACTTTCTGAACCTGAAGCCATTCCATTGCTTGATAATTTGTCCTCTTGATAGCAGGTAAAAATGCATCCCTTGTTGGTGGCAATTTTTCTCCATTTGCGTCTTGGAAAACATACGCTTGCATGCCTTTGCAAGTGTCGTAATGTTGATCTTCAAATGGTAAACTGGGCATAGGAACACCTCCAGTGCAATTACGAGTTCGTCAATGACTGTCTCAGCTGTTCTGACCACCTTCAGGGCAAGTTCAGGATCTTCAGAGGCTGAATCAAATGCCTTCCAGTAAGATAATTTGGTCTTTCCAGCTGACTTTGTGTGGTTTTTAATGGTTCAAGTGATAGGAACACATCTCTGAGGTATATACCGTGATTCTGTACCACAGCAGCAGGCACAAAAACAGCATCTGGTGGAAGTCTTGGGTAGCGTCTGACAAAGAACACTGGAACATCCGAGTCTTGTGGAAAAATCTGAAGTTTAGTAGCACCTCTCTCTGTGACATTGATGGCATGCAAGATAATTTTAGAGTCAGCTTCCTCATAGGAACTATGAAGAAACTCCACTGACCACTGTGAGGCAGCAGCTTCATTATACCGTACACCGATGAAATTCTTTGAGCAATTCTTCACATGCTGGAGCATTTTTCCCACAAGGTATGCAGTTAACTCATCCTTCGTGTGAGTATGAGACAGTAACTTCTTCACTGTGGCACTGGGGATGTTCGTGGAGTCAGTGATTTTATATTTGACAAGTGTAGTACAATGGAGTCTCTTCTTTCTGGTAATATTTTTAATTGATTCTCCTACATACTTGTCAAGTGTGAGATGGATTCTGTCATAGATCCAGTATTTTCTTCGTAGCCACATAATGAAGTGTTCAGCCAAATCTTGGCAGGTGTTAACAGTTTCTAGTTTCTCGACAGTTTGTACCTTAGCCATATCATCTATGGTTGCTATCCTGAAAGGCCTCTGCTGGCATAAGGTACTGGTCATGTTGTCAGTAGGTGCTGGCATAGGAAGACCATGCAAGATGTGCATTAGTTTGTTTTTTGCCTGGCACATATGGGTTGTTCCATCATATACGAACATTGATCATGGAGAACTCATACTTCCCCCAAAGTTTCTCATAGATGATCGTCCTGCTGAGATCTGGACTTGACCAGTTGATGAGCAACAACCTGTCTGCAGTTAGCTTTATAATAGTCTCTGCCAGCTTCACTCTGACTTCCCTCTTTGCATTCGAGCACACCATTAGTCTGTTTTTCTTAATGAGATCCCATAGATTGACAGAGCCTTGGATAATTCTTTGGGTTTTGAGGCTTCATGCAAATTATGACCCAGAGTATCCATTTGAGTGACATCTTTAGCTATCTCATCACTGAAGACTGCTTTTGTCATAATATTAATGAGCTCTGATATGGGGAGCCAGTGCGATTAAGCTCACCTGTAGCTTTAAAATTGCTCCTTCTTGGTATTTAACAGCACCTAATGAGTTTAAATGGTGCTTGGTTACTTCTGGGGAAGTCATTCTAAGCACAGTTAATGTTTCATTTGAAATTTGTTAGAGTTCTGGGTTGTCAAGGAAAGAGCAGCGTTCTCACTAAGAGTGACTGCTGCATACAGTTTTTCATGTGTTGAAACTCTACTTAATGGATGCCTTCGGGCTTCCAGCTTACCACAGAAGAAGCAGGTGTTCTCTAAATGCATGCCATGGGAACTAGTATAAGGCAAGTCTCACCCACAGTTGGCACCTGTCCCAAAATCTTTGACTTTTTCTTAATGCTCAATGTACTTCCCCTCCAACCTTGCCAAATTCATTTTTTGGGTGCGCTGCTTATAGCATGCAAGTTGCAACTGAGGGTTGTTGTTAGGGGGCTTATTCCTTCACCCACTTACTTCCCTGGTCCTTCTCGCATGAACAGAGAGCAACAATACCTGAAGTCCAAAGGTGCAAACAATTTGATGTTTATTGGGGTGAACTTCCAGCAAGCATGATTCCAGTTTCCTTCCTTAGTATCCTCCTTCCCAGCTCTGACACCACAGAACGTTACACCTGTGTCCCTGTTCCCATTTCTGCCCTTAGCAAAACATGATTCTAACTTCCTTACTCCCATTCCCTGTTCCCATTTCCCCCTTTAGCAAAACATGATTCCAGTTTCCTTACCCCTATTCCCTGTTCCCACCCCCCCCCACACACACCCACTCACTTCCTCATTGACTACAGATTATATAGTAAAACTTGAGTTCAGCTTAGCTATACCTTAACCAATCGTTTTTCTGAAATTTAACTAAGCAATCCTAACATATTGTAACATGATTATGTAACCAATTACATCCCACCACCTTAGTTTACACCCAGCAAAATTAATTATACAGCAGACAGGAATAATCACAGAACCAGACAGAGATTATACAGACAAACAATAGCAAAGTGGGAACTATAATGACAAGACAATACAGAAGTGAGGATTTCACATCCCAGCTATTGATAAGTGAGTTCTTGCCAGACAGGATGCTATCAAACTAAGTTTCCTTTTACATTTTCTAGGCACTTCCCTTTCTCTGGTGGTGATAGGAATACAATCCTGTCCTGATAGTGCCTAACAGTCCAATAGCACCTTATTTCAATGTGACTAGTTTGGAATGTGAGGATGTGACTGTTCGCTTCCCAGCTTATGGCTGCCTCTGCTGCTTAGCCAAAGGCCTGAGCCTAAGAACAGGGCCTCAGACTGTGACAGTAAGAGAAGGCCCTTACACCTGCAGACAGTGATTTTGATTCTTTCTTTTATACCTCTATAATTAGCCAAGTGATAAGAATACACCTAAATTCTTAGAGTATAGGCCTTTACAGACAGGCCTGAATATCTGTATCCTAACAGTTGTATTTAACCAGGTCCTCTGCAGGGGTATGCTTAAAGATTCAACTACTAGTTGGTATTTTTCTTCTCGCCATAGACTTCTAAAAATGATCAAGACCAAAGTAAAAAACAAGGATTTTTGTATTAAATTACTTTGGG